GGACTATGCTTCTAGATGGCAGCTTCCTCCCCACACTCAGGACAACTCCTGAACATGCTGCCTCTTACTGCTGTCTAATGTGTGAAACTGAACCCTCGTGGATCCATTCCAGAACCAAACTGAATGCAGAAAACCCTCAGCTTCTCAGAAGCCATTTAGATCAGGACAGTCCAGAAATAGAACCTATCTTGGCCTTCCTGCAGATGCATGTTTTAAGGTAGCCTAAGAATCCTTCCAATCCCGAAATTGCAAATCTGGGTCATATTAAGAGGACAATTATCTTTATACCTGTCTCTACTACAACATCAATTCATCCACTATTTTATAAAGGGGGAGGGGCTAACATGTTGGTAGACAGCCATTAACTCAGGCGGTTAACTAAGTTTTAAATATATTATTTTAATCAGTAGTATTCATTAAATGAAAATAAAGGGCCCACAGGTTTCCTGTTTGTATTTTAGGGAACTTAGGGAGTAAGGATGCTACTCTGCTTTACCAGGAGCAAACCCACATGCTTTTGGTTTTCACATGTGCCTGGGCTCCTAAAATAGGCCTAAAACAGTCTTATTTAGTTCTATGCTATTTATTTCCACAGAGGAATCTCAGAACTTTTAAGCTGTAATATGTTATCTCGTCTTTCTATACTTTTTGTGATGAAGAAATCAAAGTACATACAAAGGCAACAGAAAGACAGCTTAATTACAAAGATTTAAAAGCAGAAAGATTTACATGATGGCTTATTAGAGAAAGAACACTTTCTCCCTCTCATCTCAAGACAAACCATTTATCTAACAAAAAGTAAAAATACTGTGTTCCTTTTTTCTTTTAAGTTAAATCCTTTCCTGAAAGAACTAGAGTCTTGGATTTAACATTGTAATTTGAACAGATTACTATTCAAAACCACTACAAGAACCAAAGTATTATATCGAATTATAAACAGTTATCTCAAAATGAAATTTCTGCAATGAAATGATACTTCTGACAGAACAGTTATGAACTACAACTAATTTTTCTAAGTTCTTTTGGAGAAGACAAATTTACAAAGATAAACAAAGTAATATTACTCATTTACAATGTTAAAGGATCCAGTAATCGCTCTGGATCAGAGATGACAAGGCACAATCAACACAGTGAACTACACATCTGTGAGAATGATTAAATATGCCCACATCTTAACTGCAACACTACTTTACACTTGTTCTGAAATTATAGTTTGCAAAGTACTTACATCCATAAACTCATGTGACTCTACACGTTTTTCATTTTAAATACAATAAATATAGATGAGTCCATATGGATACGCTGTATGTACTAAAGTGTTCTCTAGAGCCAACTATGTGGTTTAGAATTCCAACATTGCCACATATTAGATATGTGACCCTGAATAAACTACTCGATGTCTCTGCCTCAGTTTCATCATCTACAAAATGAGGGTAATACTGTTTCTACCTCTTGGGACTACTACAGATTAAACCAATTAATATATATCAAGAACTTAGAAGAATGTCATGCACAAAGTAAGCACCAGACACATGCTGATGGTCATCAGCAGCAGCATACTTTATGGATAAGAAAGTGAAGATAGGAGCCACAGAGCCAGGACCAAAAACTGGACTTTCTTCCCCTAGAAAAAACATAGGGATGGTTTTTTCAATATCCTGTTTTCCTAGACTGACACCAGTCGTTTAATGTAGAACTCTGCAAATAAAAAATTCAGCAACTCAAAATATTTGTAAAATTGTATTTTAATGTCTGTTCATATATGTACTTCAGATTAGATTATAAAAAAAGAACTGTTCCATTTTGGGGACAGTACTATACACTAAGGAATTATCTGTGTTGCTATATTTGTAAAACAAAAGTCTTTTGTTTCACTTTTCAAAAGACAGACCAAAAAAGGCACAAGCTTATCATATCATGCTAGTAGGATGATCATTACCTCAAATTCTTTATAAAGAGTAAAATAAATCTGATAGAAAAAGACCAAGATGCAGATAACTATATTATGATTTCCATTTTTCTTCCAGTTTTCAAAGCATTCAGTATTGTGATGTAATATTTGTAAGTTTAAAAATGATTCCCAAAACAAAGCATATCAACGACTGAAAATAGCACTGAGAAAAAAAAAACCTTAGAAATTAATTCTAGAAAACAATAGATGCTCAGCTGAAAAGCTCCTCTTTTTTAGACATGTTTTTAGATTTCTTTCCTCATATTTTGTTCAGTTTTTTTTTTCCCTTTAGTGATTTAGGTGACTGCAATAACATCTTTCACTGTGTCTAAAAATAGGGCATGGGTGTGTAAATTTATGAGCTGAAATGCAAAACTGGCACAGGATGTCTAAATTAAAGCATTAAATCACTTAGCATATGCTAGTATAGAAATACATTTTAAGCACTGATACATACATGCTTTCTGTATACATACAATTTTAATCCAACCATTTTATTCTTTTTGTAGTGAAGAAATGTGAAATTGTGAACTTTACTCTCAAATATGCCATTATCATTTATGAGATTAATCTTGGGCAAAGCAATTCTCCACTCAAGGACTTCAAATAAGGAGAACAGACAAAAACATTGATGATTCTCAACCCTCTTTCCAACCAAACCCATCCAGGGAATTCAATCCACTTGCTTTACAGCAGCGGCAACAATCTGAAAATATCCTACAAGTGATTCTGATACACTGCCCTAGAAGCTGTTTCCCTGCCTTCTAGACTTCTTCCACACTACTATAGACTTCTCTGAAGTTCTACAAGTTCCAAGGCCTGCCACTTTAGATACAGGAAAATTACAACCCATTGACCTGAAAGTTATCTGACAGTGTTATTTAAATACACTTAAAAAGAAAGGTGAAAAGTTAATATACATTTTCACTTGATGGAACAGACAAGAGTTAAATAAGAATCTGGGTACTGAAGATATCAGAGGGCTTTATAACAACTGTTCACATGGCAGAGAGCAAATCTGACCTAGAACTACTTATGAAGAAGGTACAGAAAGGAGGATAAAAAAGGAGAATCAATCAAAATAAACACCTCAATGGTTTGAATGTGTGATTAATGTGATTTAAGTCAATTTGCCTGATAATGGGAAAAAGAAGCAAAAAATGGACATGTATGTAGGTGGTATTATATAATCCTCAACTGCTTCTCCAAAATATCAACCTGTCATAAGTTTTACATCATTTTTACATTATACAGTTGTTATAATAACCAATAACTACTTAAAATATGTGGACATATGTCATATTATAACAAATCAAATACACTGGATCAGCATGGTGGTTGACAACAATATGCAAGCATGGTATTTAAAAATGGTGTCCTTATTTCTTTGAATATCCACTTGCTATTGATAAATTCCACAGTATCTAAAAGCTATTTATTGTATGTGGAAAGTCATGTGAAAAATTCTATGAGCTAGGAAAGAAGGAAATGGAATTTGAAAACTTCCTTAGAAAATGCATGTTGTCTGATCCAATCATGAACCAATATTATATCATCATGAATAAGTATACAAGGAATAGTGAAATGCTAACCAGGGCTTCAAAATTAGGATTATTTGTATGAAACAAAGTGTAACTTCATTATCTTCAAAAGACAAAGTATTAACATTAAATAAATGCTGTTAACTGTATATTTTATACTGAGATGACCCTTAAATGGTACAAAGAATAATCAAAACCACAGATTTAATATTTGAACCAAAAATAAACAGAAATTTGGCTGAGTTCAAAAGTTGCTGTCCTCTGTACCAAAAGATACCACCAGTGGTGAGTCAGAATACAATGTATACATGTCTACAACTGCTGTAACACATTCCATTGTTATATTTTACTGACTTGTGGTTGAAAAATCGATAAAAATTTTTGGTAGGCACTGACTTCTTCTGAAATAAATTTCAAAACACACAGTCCATTGTTGGCTTAACTTGCTCAAAACGCTCCCAAACAATGTGGACTCTAACTATAAAACTTCAAACTTGGGTCTGTAAACAGACCAACAGCCTAATAATAAATAAAAATGAAGAAAAAGAAATGCCCAAATCCCAATTTTGGAAAATGTTCACATCTGAAATGGTTTGCAATAATTTAATACCAAGAGAAGACTGATCGCTTACATGAGTTGGGATGGATAATATTTGTTGAATGAATATACACATTTCTTCCTCGTTCTATAGCCATGTGTCAAAGCATCAAAACAATTTAATTTGTATCTGTTTCTGTTGTGTCTTGAACTTTATATATAAGTTTATCATGAGGAAAAAAAAAAACCTGTTTGGCTTGACTCACCATGAATCACAGCCAGGAGGTCATCTTGTTGTGTATCAGCAACTATGTTTTCACTACAGCTATGTGACCTGAAGTGGCAGCAGCAGAGGCACCAAAATAGAAGGGGCAGGAGCTTTCTCCTGGCTTCTCAGCCTCAAATGGGCTTTTCCAGCCCATTCCGGCAACTGAGCAAGAGCCAACCGCAGAGCACAGAAAGAACAAACCCGACAGCTCCGAGGAGAAAGGCTGCAGGCCCACCGCACCTTTCTAGCCCTCCCGGGGAGCCCGGAGAAGCGAGAACATAAAAGGGGACAAGCTTAAGAAACAGTGTAGAGAAAATACATCATGACATGGGCCCAAACTAGCTTGGTGTGGAGCAAAAACAAAAAAAAACAAAAAAACCAGCTGTGACCGTGAAGCACAGATTTCGGGAAGGTCTGGACACAGAGGAGGATTTCCACCCCGGGGCTCTGGGCGCAGCTCCGGCGCGAGCGCGCAGCGAGACCCCAGTCTCCGAGCACCTCCGGCCACCCGGGACCTGCCCGATTCCCATCTCACCTGTCCGGTGCCCGCGGGCCGGGCAGGCACCTCTGGTCCCCTGCCCCGCCCCGGCCCATCCTCCCATCCCATACCCTCCCGGCACGTCTCTGGGGACCAACGGCCAGGTCAGCAGGGGCAGGGGTCAAAGCCCGCTCCGCCGCCCCAGGCCCAGCCCCCGGACTCACTTTCTGAATCCGCTTCAGCGCCATGGGTCAAGGAGGGCAGCGGGGACACCGGCCGGCGGGGGGCGGCTGCGTGGCTCGGGGGCGTGGGTCGTCGCGGGCTCCGCTCGCTGGCTGCTCGGCTGGCTCAGCCCTGTGGGTCCCCGGCTCGCCGTTCGCTGGCTCGCTCCGGGAGCCGGTGCCTGATCCCGTGTGCGCCCGAGCGCGAGTGTGCGCGAGTGTGCGGGCGGGGACGCCGGCGAGACTCTTTTGTTTCCGCTTTTGCTTCTGGGAAGGAGCCTGCGCCCTCCCCACCGCGCCCCGCCCCGCCTGGCACACTGGGAAGTGTAGTTCCAGCCGTCCTGGCCGCCAGAACCAGGACGCTGTCGGGTTCCTCACTGGTGACCTCAACCAGGCAGCCTGGGGTGTCAGCTGCCCAGCCTGGAGTTGGTCTCTGCTGTTTGATTTAGAGTGAATTACTGAAGCTGGGTCTGCGCATCTGTACGATGGGATAACAAATGAGCTCCTAACGCATTTACAAGAATTTCTAAAATTTCAGAGTTAATCATTCCTTATCCATTACATTTTACAGCTGATCTTGTTATTTTTATCTTTACAGAGTTCACTGACTCTTCTGAAATATATGAATTACCTCAATTTCTCACCCTCCACACATGCGCTGACTCATACCTATTATGATTCTTACTTACCTCCTTAGTTCTTATTTCGGAGGGGAAAAAAAAAAAAAGTGCCTTCCCAGTCTAGGGCAAATCTTGCATTGTCTAACCCTCTTTAGAACTCAGAATTCTGAGCCTCGCTCTCATAAGTAGCTTTTTCCCTTAAGTTGACGATACCTGACAAATAGTCTAGCACACTCCCCAATCCTTCCATTTCCATGAACTTGTGTACACATTGAAACGTGGCTTCTTACTTTCAGCACCAGCAAAATCAGTTTTCACTGAGGACACCATTGAGCTTCTTATTACTAAATTCAACTCACTCTTTATTCTGAGCAGGTTTTTGAATGATTTGCCTAGCTATCCTTTTGATTTTCAAAATGCTCATCTTCTTCCCTTTTACTTTCCACTAGCTCCTTTTCCCAAATATGGGAGATCTTGTACTATCCCTGAACTGGGAGGCAACCTAGCAAGGTCTTAGGAGCAAGGGCCTTGTAGATGAACCATGCACGTATTTCTGCTTCTCTCTGCACATCCATCCACCTCCTTTTTCCAATTACTTCTAGTTTCTCTCATATGACTTGGGCTTGTGCAACCCTTACTCTGCTTAGTGATGCTGTTTAGCAACTGCCCCTGTTGCTAAATGGCCAAACCTTTTTGTACTCCCTGATTCATCTCCTCAAAGGGAAGAAGCTGAATGATGCAACTCAACTTTCTATTCCAGGCTATAAATTGTCGCTAGTGATGAGTTAGGTGTCTATTGATGGTCTTACCAGCTGGGGAAAGTTTGATTGTGTGTGTGTGTGTGTGTGTGTGTGTGTGTGTGTGTGCGCGCGCGCGCGCGCACTCGTGCATGTGTGTGTATATGTATGCTGGGGCTGGAATTCAGGGCCTCTTGCCTGGTAGGCACAGGCTCTAACATTGAGCTACATCCGCAGTCCCAGTGTGGAAAGTGTGAAAGTACTTTTGGACAAAGGGGCTTCTGGAAAACACTAACAAGGTCCTGTCAACTGTACAGAGATATATTTAGGCTAGCTCAAAGCACCATTTTTAGAAAGAAAGAGCTCCATGCTAAAAGGAAGCATGAGATTATTCGTGTAAGTAAAGTAGGGTACATCACCTTTGGGAAGTTGCATTCCCATGCTAATAGCATTTGATATCATGTTAGATGTGAGGCCGTGTTCACTGTTACCACTATGGTAAGATTTCAGGTACCAGGCAACTCAGAAAAAAACCTCCAGGGTCATTCTGTGAACATCACTGCATGAACAACAACAGCAACAACAAAACACACTCAAGCAGAAGCTATGTATAGGACAATTTTGTTCAAAAGTCATTGAGGGCCCAGGACCCTGGCATCAATTTCTCCCTATAAAGATTCACTGCCAAGATCACTCAGTTGCTTAAAAAACTTTATTGTATCATGCCTCAGTGTAGTGCAATTTATTTCCATCTTTTGCTCACATACTACAATTAATACCATGTGCCTTTGCATGTCCATTCACTCTGCAAAGGATGACCTCCTTCCATTTACCCGGCAAACTTCTTACACTTCTTCTAGACCCAATACAAATGATACATACTCTATGAGATTATTTTCTACCTATTCACTAAAGTGGATTTTTAAATATTTATATTATTCTTTTAATTCCAGAAGCAAGATGTACTTTAGGGATATCACTTAGTCATGACTGGTTGTCTCATTAGAATATGAATTCTAAGGACACATGGAAAATGTCTTACTTTTTTTTTTAGTAATGTAAAATTTACATACCATGAAATGCCCACATCTAAGTGTACAGCTTGATGGGTTTTGACAAATGAATATACTTGTGTGATAATTGAGATCTAGAACAATTCTATCACCACAGAAAATTCCCTCATGACCCTTTCTAGTCACTCTCCATCCTGGTAGGAAATTAAAGCTCTGGTTGCTATCACCATAGACTTATTTTCACCTGTTCTTTTTTTTTATGTTTTTAGTGAGAAGGAAAAATTATTTTTTAAGCCAACAAATTTTGGGGGTAGTTTGTTACACAGCAAAACTGTCTGAAATAGTATATAATGAAATGCATGTTTTGAAATAGGGATCTAATTAATTTTAAATACTCTTCTTAAATTGTCAGAAGGCCAATCCCCAAATCTTTGCCATAATTACCATCAGTTCTTTTTGTTGTTATTTTGCATTACTGGGGATTGAACACAAGGCCTCTCGCATGCTAGGTAAGCTCTACCACTGAGCTATATTCCCAGTCTTTTCATTTTTAAAAAACTTTGAGAAAAGGTCTTGCTAAACTACCCAGGCTGGCCCCAAACTTGTGATCCTTCTGCCTTAGCCTCCAAAGTAGTTGGGATCATAGGCAGGAACCATTGTGCAGGGCTTTGTCTGCTTTTGAAAGTCATATAAAGAGGCTGGGCATGTGGCTCAGGCGGTAGCGTGCTTGCCTGGCATGCGTGGCCCCCGGGTTCGATCCTCAGCACCACATACAAACAAAGATGTTGTGTCCTCCGAAAACTAAAAAATAAATATTACAATTCTCTCTCTCTCATATAAATGGAAGAATAAAATACATGCTCTTTTGTGTTTCAATTTTTAACATAATATTTTTTCTTCCATTTTGTTGCATGTAGTAATAGTTTGTTCATAACTGCTGAGTATTATTTCCTGTTATGAATATACTCTAATTGTTTTTTCTTCTTTCTCAGGATAATGAACACTTGGGTTGTTTCCAGTTTGGGTTTATTATAATTAAAGTTGTTATGAATATTCCTGCATATTTCTTTTTTAATGAACATAGTTTATAGTTTTTTAGGATAAATTGTTAGATTGAAATTGCTGAATTACAAGATAGTATATATATAATATCATAAGCAATTATCAAATAGTTTTTCAAAGTGATCATACAATTTTTTTTTTAAAGAGAGAGAGAGAGAGAGAGAGAGAGAGAGAGAGAGAATTTTTAATATTTATTTTTTAGTTCTCGGTGGACACAACATCTTTGTTGGTATGTGGTGCTGAGGATCAAACCTGGGCCGCACACATGCCAGGCGAGTGCGCTACCGCTTGAGCCACATCCCCAGCCGTGGTCATACAATTTTAAAGTCTCAACAGCACTATGTGACTGTTTATTCTACCTTCTCATCAATACTTGGTGTCCATAACTTAATTTTGGCCATTTTCTTGAATTTTAAGTTATCATTATGGCTTTAATTTGCATTTCCCTGATGATGAATAATGTCAACCACATTTTCACCTGCCTTTCAGTTATTTCTGTACCTTCTTTTCTCCTATGCCTTTCTTCTATCTTTTGAGTGATTTAATTTACTCTTCTTTTTTCTAATTTCTTAAGGTTAAAAGATACAATCACTTTAAACTTTTCTCCTTCTCTCATAGAAAACTTTGAAGCTATTTTTATGTACTGTATTTGTAAATTTTTATATTTTTGCACTTTCCTTTGGTTTTAAGTATTTTCTACTTATAAGTATGCTTTCTCTTTTTATTCTCCCATCACACTATATGTCATTTAGAAATGTGATGTTTAGGGCTGGGGATGTGGCTCAAGTGGTAGCACGATCACCCGGCATGCGTGCGGCCCAGGTTCCATCCTCAGCACCACATACAAACAAAGATGTTGTGTCTGCCGAAAACTAAAAAATAAATAATAAAAGTTCTCTCTGTCTCTCTCACTCTTTAAAAAAAAAAAGAAATGTGATGTTTAATTTCCAAATGTATATTTAAAGCTTTTTTAGATATAATATTGTTACTAATTTATAACTTAATTATTTTGTGGTCAAAGAAGATAGTCTGTAAGATTCTGTCATTCAGACTGAGTCTTAGTTAATGTCCTAGCATATGATCTGCATTGGAGAATACTCTATGTAAACTCAAAAATGTGATTTTTGCAAGCTCTTAGATATAAATATAAAGAGCTGTCAATCAGATCAGATCTTCTTTATCCTTTGTAATTTTTGTTCAGTTGTCCTTTTTTTAAAAAACAATTTTTAGTTATAGGTGGATATAATATCTTTATTATGTTTATTTATTTTTATGTGGTACTGAGGATCAAACTCCGTGTCTCACATGTGCAAGGCAAGTGCTCTGCCACTGAGCTACAACCTCAGCCCTGTTCAGATGTTCTTTGATTACCAAAGAAGAGTGGCAAAAATAAAAACTTCTATTAATTGTAAGTTTGTCTATTTCTTCCCCTAGTTCTATTTTTGCTCCATGTATATTGAAGCTCTGGTGTTAGCTCATTATCTCATGATAATCAAATGATCATACATTTGAATGTCATACAATGTACATGTAAAAGTTCTCTTTGAGTTGTACACTTTGTCTTGAAATCTAATTGTATGATGTTAATACTGCTATGTTGTCTTTATGATGCTTACCATATACTTGGTATATTTTTTCTTATTTTCAATCTGTGTTTTTATTTATTTGTTTATTTGTTTATTTATTTTTGTAGTTGTAGATGGACAGAATGCCTTTATTTTATTTGTTTATTTTTATGTGGTGCTGAGAATCCAACCCAGTGTCTCACACATGCTAGGCAAGCGCTCTGCCACTGAGCTACAGCCCCAGCCCTGTCTGTC